GAGGAGTACTTGAGTCTAACGGCGAGTATTATAAGCCTATGGTTTGGCTTCTCTATCATTGCGTTCACTCACACTATACGACAAATTTGGATAAAATTAAAAATTAAAAACTATTTTATTGGTTTTGTAACTAAATGTAAATATTTAATGTTAAACCGAATTAATTGTAATTGTATAATTAATAACAAATTTTTAGTTAAACGTAAAGCTCGTAAAATTCACCAAATGCACATATCATTAACTAATAAATAAACTAAATATTAATTTTAATTATTAATTAACATTTTTGCAAGATACAATAATTTAATTGTTAATTTAATTACAAATAACTTTTACTATTTTAAACAATGTTTATTATTATAAATAAAACATTATATTTACTAAATTATAAATAATTTATTTTTAAATTCTTTCATTTAAAACAATTAATTTTATTTTATTACTAAACATTATATTTTTGTAAAACAGTTAATTAAAAATAATAACTGACTAAATTTACTTGTAGTTATAAGCAATTAATGTTTAATTAAATGTACTGGATGTTACTATTTTTATATTATTTGTTACAGGCTAGAACATTTATATTATTAATTACAAATAAATTATTATTTTTTGAATTATGCTGGACAAATAATTTATTTACACAAAATTTAATAACCATTTGTTGGCAAAACTTTGTAAACAATAATGCATTGAAACCTAACCATAGACTCAATATACTGGCCATAAATATGACGTACTCCTCGAAACACATTTTCAATGATATCTCGTATACAGGGGTGGGCTCTGACTGGAACTGGATGTCAATCACTGATTTCATTGATTTATTATTATTATCTATTTTATCCACCTTACTTTCGACATAATAATAATATTTATTACATTCGACAATATCATTACAATATTGGCTACATACATTTTCAAATGTATTATTATTATTATTAAATTCAAAATACAGTTTATATAAATTATGATCATCAATATCGTTTGTATTATTATAATCATTATAAAATAATATATTATTTTTTACCGTGCTATTTAATTTTATTGTACGCTTATTATAACACTGGGCAATACACTCGTCCCTGGTGAGTCCATTAGTACATTGAAAACTATATTTGTGGTTATATTTTAATAAAGTTTGTCTATATTTAAATGTAGTGACCGTATTATTAGGGAGTAGTGCCCATTGTGATCCAGGACTAAATGCAGCATACAGGCGCTCGACCGGATTATGTATATTATATATTACATATGAATTATCAAGGTTAGTAAGTTTATACTCAAGGTGAACATTATTAAACTTGTATGATTTACATTTATGTAACTTAATTTCTGAAGGTACCAAGGTATAACAATATGATGAGGCCTCAATAGATACAAGTAAATCATGTGTCATGTTGCAATATAATGGCCATTTATCAGTATACATAAAGCAGTCAAATATTGATCCTGGTGATAATAGTAAGTCGAATTGCTTACCAATAGAGAGAGTATTAATAATTTTTAATTTTGTATCTAGGGTAATATTTTTAAAATTATCAGTATCAATAGCATACAGTTTAGGTATACATAGTGTAAATGCTGGTTGAGATGCCTGTCCATTATTTTGAGATACATACTTAACATTAGTAGTGGTTTCGTACGAAAAGTATAATAAACTTATTTTATACGTTTGATACATACAACCAATTACACATAATAACCTTGTTAATATGCTAAACCAATTCTTATATAGGTAATTCATTTTAGTTCAATAATTGACTAGAAACAAGTGATTATAACTTAACTCGAATTATGAGCAAGTTATTTTTAAATATTTAACAAATTATTTTTGAATGTTTTTGTAAAAATAATATTTAAATAATAGATTTGTTATTGCATTTGAAACAATAACAGATAAATATGTACACTATTTTAATTAGTATAACTACATTTATTGAGAAATGTATATGCTAATTATAATATATCGATAAATGTTAATACAATATTTTTTAATTACTTTACTAGGTTTTATCATAGACAATAATGAAAAATAGTTAACAATGTTGTATTTTATTATTTTATATAATCGAGTAACTTTAATTAATAAAAATAAATAATGCACTTTGTAATATTAATTTACTAGATTATTATTAAGAAAAATGTTTACTTTGTTTGTAATTATAATTGTGTCTACCACAAAATTAATTAAATAAGTACACGATACGCAAATTGAGATTTTTTTTGTATATTTAAAAATAGTTATTTATATTTTGTAGCTGTTTTTATTTATGAATATTTTAAAAGTTTTATCATTTACAAAAACAATATTAAGCTCATGTTAATTTTAACAAATACATTATAAAGTTTGCATTTATTATTTTGATTTACTTTAAATTACTCACATTAAACTATGCGATAAACTAAAACTATTAGTTTATTGTTATATGATCTACAAAAATATTTTTGAATTTTTATAAAAAAATTAATACTGTATAAACAATAACTAAACTATTAATACATATTGTTAATTTGTAACAAAAGTTTATAAAATTATTCTATTTAATAAATTATATAACAAGGTCCATTTTATATTGTAGAAAATTTATAAAACATAAAATATAAATCTTATACAATCTCAATAAAATAAATACATATTAATAAATGACCTTTAAGGATTAAGTAAACGTAATAAGTATATAAAATAAAATCCTATTTGTATCTAAGATATGAGTGTGCTATATAAAATGTGTTAACACCAATTATATTGCAATTTATTTTAAACCGCATAACCAAACATTACAATTCGTAACTACGATACCGCATGTTGTGTTTGAATTGTACAATGCTATACAAATCACAATAGTTATTATATTGCAAAATATAGCTATTTTTGCACCTGTTAAATGAATCAATAAAAATATAATATTATAGAGTTGTTATTGTAGTAAATAATAAAAATAACACTAATAATTTAAATATTTTTTTCAAAAATTTACTCAATTTTAAATAATTGCCTATTTTAATTAAGCTACAAACTTTCATTTAACATTTTATATTATTATTAAATTAACAAGTAACTTCATTAAAGTTTACAAACTTCACTTACCTGGGAAATGGGTGTGTCATGTGGTGCATCAGTGATCACCATTATCTTGGTTATATTTAACTTTATATGGCTGGTAAGTGTAACAAAAACATTTGCCCCTTAAGTATTATATAATCGTACATTTTAAATTTTTTAAAAATAATTAATAAATTAAAAATACGTAAAAATATTTTACAGGCACTGGGCGGGGTAATATTATGGTTGGGTATCAAGATCGCTATCTGGTCCGGTGACCTAGGCAATATCCAAGAAAACAACTGGCTAATAGGTGCCTGTGTGGTCATACTGGTGGGAGTCCTAATAGTTATATTGGCATTCCTGGGCTGTTGTGGTGCTATCAAACAGAGCCCCTGTATGTTATGTACAGTAAGTTTAGTAAACTACGAGTTTTTAATAGTGAAAATAATTTTTAATTTTTTAAAAATATAACTTATCTAGTACGGATTTATTATACTGATCTTGGTGATATTGGAGGGTGTGGGCGCGTATTTTGCTTTTACGTACAAACATGACGTAAGTATTGTTTATATTATATTTTTAGTGTAAATGCTCACAATTTTATACAGTAATATTTTTAAATATATTAATAATTTTTAAATGTTTGTTA